CCACCCCAGTAGAGCTGAACTGCAAAGCATAGAACAAATGGCAGGCACTTTGGTTGAATTCTATAAGGGATGACAGGTTGACTAGATTGAAGCTACCTTCAGAAGTTAGCTGGCAAGACACTCAAATGAAATTCGGAGTAAACAGCACCTTAGCAACAATGTTATAAATGGTGATTAAGTTCCCAGTCTCCTATGAAAAAGAGGGACCCCGAAGTCCTGAGCTTTGTGATTTTGTCAGACACCCATTTCAGTCCCATTATAGATTTTTCAGGTCTTTGCACTGATGTGGAAACTCAGATGCCACATTCATACGTTAATCCTTCCTTTAACAGGAGCAAATGCCAACCTGGAACGTGGTGTGTTGGGAACACTTTCTTTCTCCTCCAAAGGCAAAAAGCATGGGCCCCTGGAAGCTGTTCCAGGAGAGAAGGCACCAGGGTGGGAAATGCACACGTTCCGCCTTCCGCCCAGAAAGAACAGGTTAGCGTGGGAGCCCTTCTCCCTCGGCTGGGGATGGGGAGGAGGGAGAGGCCCCCATCCCTACTCTGACATGGACTAGATACTAATGGCTGTGTTAGTCTTGTTTCTAAATATGAGGAATTAGAGCAGTTGGGATTCTGTAAGGTTTACATTTTAATTTCAAAGAAATACATTCCACTGTGAGGCTTGAGAAGTGAGAGAAATTCCTACCTTAGTAGGTTGGGATAAAAAAAATGAAATGCTGGTATCACTATATGGGTTGTAGCTGGCTGGCAGTAAGGTGGTGAAAACCTGGGTGTCGAAAGGGAGTCCCTTCACATATATAAGGACTATGCCTTTTTAAATTTTAAATATTTTTATTGATTTTTAGCGAGAGAGGCAGAGAGAGAGAAAGAGAAACATCGATGTGAGACGTGAGAGTGAAACATTGATCAGCTGCCTCCTGCACACCCCCCACTGGGGATCAAGCCTGCAACCTGGGCAGGTGCCCTGACAAGGAATCCAACCAGCAACCTCTTGGTGTACAGGATGACACTCAACCAACTGAGCCACACTGACTAGGGCAGGACTATGTTTTAAGGAAAGCCAATGTCTAGAATAACTTTGCCCACAGAGACTTTTAAAATAATCAAGCCATTTAACAATAATGCTAAACTTAGGTTTTCATAATTACCTGGCTTCTTCCTTCATATTCCCTTATTCGCACAGGAAGAGACTGGTTGGTTGACTCTCTCATGTTGGGAGGGTGAGAAAAGAGTTTTCTGAATGATTCAGTCTCCAAATTAGGATTGTATAAATTATTCCAAACTTGGTGGGAAAAGCTCCAACTTTATTACAAACCAACATGTATAAATGGACCAGGCATTTTCTTGGTAGAGCAGCACTTAAGTAAGGGCTCAGTGGAATCAAAGTAGCATCACATTTGAAATTCTGGCAGAATCAATATCATATAAATGGACAATTGGATTTTGAGTGGCCAATGCCCCAGAGAGCTCTCACCAAAAGATACCTTACCAACAACATCACACCTCATCGAGTCAACACAAACCTTATTTTACCCAGGCCTAGAAACATAAAATCTGTGGTCAAAGTTTAAAATCTTAAAATGTAAAATGCAGAACATGTGGAATAACCAACTGGGCTTTGGGAAGAAGTTTAAATGTTACCTCTCAGCATTCCATTTTGGCTGGAATCCCACTAATTTTGAGAAAAATTTAAAAATAGCTGTCCTAGGAGACAAAAACAACGTCACTTTGTCTTTTTGTTCCTCAAATGTTGAAAAAGAGCTGAAATTTTGCATAGCAGAATGGAAAAGCTGAAGACTCTTGGTGTGAACCAATCCCAATTTAATGGACAAGAAAGGTCTTGCCTTCCATTTAAGGGCACACAGCCACCCACAGTCTCTGGGAAGGTGGCCTGTTCATGTAAAATAGGTCTCATCTAGTTTCATGGCATTAAAAGGAATTTGTCTTACATGGGTCAGCTCTTCTGGAGTGTATCTGTGTCTCAGGAACTCAAATTCAAGTGATATCCTATGGCTCTCTACCTTGGTCACCTATTATTATTATTACCTTCTGAATTCCTGCTTTTCAATTAAATCATGGGAACTAATTGCTGGTGTTAATCACACTATTAATTATTAGGAAATATAAGGCCATTTTGAGTCACCTGTTGAATTCAGAGGGACTTTCTAATCCCAGAAAATAACTATGTTCATAATGACTGGTAAAGGTTTTAACAACCATGGGCCACTGCGCACCGAGATTAGCAGGGCACGGAGACAAGCAAGAGCGGTGCCAGCACCTGGATCCTATTTATCCTGAGGAAAGTGTAGGCAGAACAATGGCTTGCTGGGGAGAGCCCTTCAACGCCGGGGGCAGCCGCCCTCCCACACTGCCGCAATGTATCTGGTTTAAAAACCATAGAAACAAAGGAGGAATAGGTGGCAAATCTGATTCCAGTAGGAGCGGTGCCCAGGACTCTCATTTTACAAGCTCATAATTTATGATTTTATAAATCATAAACCCAGTTTTACGACTGCAATTGTAATTCCTATTTCTATATTCTTGGCCATGAATATGAAAAAATACATGAATACTTTTCATATCTGGTTTCAACTCCAAAGTGAACAAGCACTGAGAAAATCACCGACTACTCGTTAGTATTTTGAAACTGAGTCAACTTGCACCTTCTCATGTTTCTACTCAACACATAACACAACCTCAAAAAGTCTGTAATAACAAATATGACTTTCACTACACTTTGTAAACTTTGAGAATGTTCCCAAAACATTGCTAAGTGTTCTAAAAACGAGTAAAATAAATTTACAAATAACTTGAAAATACAAAATACTATCAAGGGAAGTGTGGTTAATGCATGAGTCATCTTATAGGTATCTAAGCAAGTCAGATCAGTAGGTTAAATTAGGTAACTCCTACGGTCCCCTGAAGGTCTCAATGTGCTCTTCTCTGCACAGACATTTGGGCTGGCCATTGCTCTATGATCAGAGAAGGGATAGTGAGGCAGGATAAGCAGGCAGCAGAGAAGAGCTTGGTTCATAGACACCTATCACCCCACCTGTCTGTCTAGTCAGGATGCAGAAGTGACAGTGATGAGCCTACAGTTTTCTACATGGAAAAGATATTTGCAACCACCTGAATGAAATCATACAGCCAAAAGCATTTGCAGTAATTCCACTTATATAGCTGAATTAGTGAATCAGTTTTAAGAATTTGTTTATATAGAAGCTAAAATCAATAAAAACAAAAAACTGGATTAACTATTCATTGGAAAATGAATTTATTTTAAACCTAAGTCCTGGAAATCATTCCAATACTTCTAAGAAAGGTGGTAAGAGCTGGAGCTTTTGAAAAATGATAATTCCCATTTTATACTTGTGGGTTTGAAGGTTCTCTTTTTATACACCTTGGCTTGAAAATCTCCACTGAGCCTTCACGGCCCCTAAATCTGTGTTCTCAATAGGCAGCACATGGGAAAATGCTAATGATGCTCTACTCTCCGGCTGGAACTGAAAACATGGTGGGCTTTGGGAATGAACAACTCTGCAACATCTCCCTTGGCTTTTATGCCTAGAGTCTGAGAGTCTTCAAGTCCTGCTTGAATGCCAAGAGTTTCCATTGCTGTCTAGTAATGGTATATGCAGGCTGTGACTTGGGTACAATGAAGTTTTGATAGAGAGTCTGCATGAGCGGGAGCAAGGGCTCTGCCTGTGGAAGCCTCCAGTCTTTTTGCTGACCACGGTGTCCTGTCACTCAGCTGGGGCAGGGACATGTCACATGTAACCATGCATGTCTAGGACCAAGCAGTGTACCTAAGATGAAGATGCTTTTCAAAGAGCTCAGTGGACGAGGGGAAAGGGTAAGGAAATGAGCAAAACAGTTTTTAAAATCTCCCCTTAGATTTTTAATATACCCACTGTTCTACCTCCCCTGTCATTAATTAATAAGACCTAAAGACACAGACTCCTGAAGTATTTTCCATGTATTATAGAAGCAATTCTTAAAAATACAAATAGAACCAGTTTCTTGTGTTGTTC